TTTTTTTTATTTTACTCTGTAACAATCTCATCTCTGATGCCATTATATATATATATATATATATATATATGGATATAGTATACAGAGTCATCTATATTTGTACTATAGCAGAATTAGTTACTTCTTATTCATTTCGTTGCCTGTGCGCGTGTTATCTTCAATGGTAAACATTCTGTCAGAAAGCAGAAAAGTCTCGCTGTATACGCATTATAAATGTTTTGAGATGAATAACTGCACTGCAAATTAATTGTTTTTAATCAACAGAGGAGTTCCAAACACCGTTGATTATGGCATCGCATGGTTTTATTTGATGTTTCTAGTTACCTGCAGAATCTGTGTCCACACCATTTCATCTCCCTGTTGGAGTTCAGTTGCTACACGTGTACGTGGAAAGCAAGGAATTCTATAATTTACAACAAAATTCTGCTTCAGTAAGGTCAGCCTTTGAAAATGTTGCAAGCAGAAAATCAGCACAGGAAAAGGTAAGATCAATAAGATAACAAGTATTGGATATAATTGGAAAGTAGCATTAGAAATGCCAGGAATAATGAGAAATGCTGAGATGAGGCACCATCTTTCTGTTTCGATTGCTCAAATTGTGTCTGTACAAGTGTATTTTATTAAGAGAAGGGCATTCTATCTTAACTTGTCTTCATATTACAGATTTTGTGAAGCTGTCAAATTCTAAATGTTTGTTTCTAGGAGCTTTCTTCCCCCCCCCACGAAATTTAAAGTGTAGGATCTTCATAATAATCCGTCCTACCAACCTAGATTCTTTTTACGGATGAAATGGATATCCACGTAGATTCACTGGTTAACTGAGCGATATTATAATTCATCTTACGTTTTTTATTTAATTGAAAATACTATACAAGTCTAAACACTAGTTCTGATGTCACTGACATTATTTGTAATGGCTAAATTCTGTCAAATATGCCAGAATTGTTGTTGTTCGTCTTCTATGGCTCTCCGGTCCATATTCGGTCCATGGCCTCCTCAATTCTCCTCTTCCATTCGGTCCTCCGTTAGGTCCGTCTGTCCGAGGGTTTGATCGAGGTTCCGAAACATCTTCCTTTTTACGGCGCAAGATTGTTAGCCTTGCGACCAACCCCCAACCTGGAGGGCCAGGGTACCTGTCTTAGTCTGACCTCTCCCCGTCGACCAATCTGGCTAGGGAGGCCCTACCAGTGAGCTATATATAATAACTCTAAAAAATATTGGGTGTCATGACAAACTGTTGAGGTGTCATAGTGATCTGATGTCTGGGATTTGTTGATCCCCTGGAATGTAGAATATGTGGTTAATTGTTGGGTTTCCTTTTGAGGTTCCATCTGGGAAAGTTCCACTTCCAAAGGAACCACTGTCTGCAATGAAAAGGGATATCTCAAGAATCTTTACAGTACCTGAAGAAAGGGAAGGAGAGGTAGATCAAGCTGAAGACCTCACTGTTCCAAGTGAAAATGAGAGTGTAGCAGTTAGTGCTTCACTGAGTGATAATGATATGGTTGCTCTTGCAAGTAGCATGTGCTCTACTCCACTGAAGGATATAAACCTAAACAAAGTGCTGCATGGTAAGGCATTGTCTATATGTAGCAAAAACAGCGGTGATGAAGCAGAGGCTCTAACGGTGACAGCAAATGATAAGGCTGATTTTGTAGTGTCTGGTAAAGTACAGGGTGTTATGAATTTAGAAACTCGTCAAACTGAGAAACCAAAAAAGAAAAGGCCGAAACCACCAAACTTTCTAGTGAATTTCTGTGAAAGCGAAGTTCGTAGTTTAAGTTTAAATGATCTCCAGCAACACCCTCGAATGTCCTCTAATAGAGTCCCTATGAAGTACTATAGTTTCGGTCTCCCGAGAATTACTCGAGACATGACAGATGACAGTGGTGATTGTTCTCCCATGAAGAATTTACCGTCTGGTACACATTTTTATAACACTATTTCAGACCCTTTGCATCCATTATTCCGCTATGATGGACTTCCAATTTCATGTTCACTATATAATGAAAATCTTGCACGTCATTACCAGTTACTCGATATGGAGAGGAGTGATGAACCAAGTCCGGGAGGTATTACATCTGGAATCAGTTTTACTAATCTTGTGTCTTCAACCAAAACAAATTGTAATAACAAAATAAAAGAGTGTGATACGGCAAGTAATACTGCGCTAAATATAAAAAAGAATTGCGATAAATCCACAACAGATCAGACTGAACCGTGTTCAAATGAAGATGAACTTGTAACTCAGCAGCAAACAAGACAGGTAAGAATGACTTCATCCAAACAAGAAGTATATCGGCGTTCTCTTAGTTTGCCATTGAAGTCCATGATTACGAGTGAATATGCAGATGGAGACGTGCGAGAGAGGTCGACTTCTTATACTGCAGGTGTGCTTGAATCCCCAGCAGTGAAGACGAGGACTCTTGAACTCCCAATCACACCACTTATGTCCAAGTTGAGTTCTTTGGCAATAGAAGAAAGGACAAGTGGGTTTTGCAGTCGTGACACGTCTCCTGGCGAATTTCGAGACCTTAGTTTTCCGGGAACCAGCGACACCAGTAGTGTCCCAGAATTCACAAAAAGGAAGGTTATCGGTGAGAAGAGGGAGGCTGAATTAGAACAGGAGGACAGCAATGAATGTGCAGAAGCACCTAAAAATGCTGTGTTGTACCTGTGTGGTCAGCAGAATATGTCACTTCTTCTGCTCCTGGAGGAAGGTCTGGGGCAGGATCCTGATCTCATACATTGTTTGGTGAGTGATTTGATTATGTTATAATGCATGCAATGATTAGGGCTAGTTGGCATCATTTAGACGAGCCCTGTATATTATATAGGGGGTTATTGCTGCTGACTCAGGCAGGATTGTCCGTTGCTGCTCTCATCAATAGGGCAGATACATCATGCATGAGTTTACTTCATGGCTGCACCATCTAGGAAACTTGCTGTATATACCAACAGGTATAGCTATTTTGTCTGGATCTGATAGGAAGTCATATTTTTATGGGATTTGAAGTTTTACATGGCCATGAATATATTCATTATGGTCTTCTGGGTTATGATGCCATGTAGGTGGTTACTAAAATTTATGACAAACTAGAAAAAAAATTATTGCAGTGATAATTTGATGGTCAGCTGTATACATTTATTTTCTTACAGTGGGAGACTAGTGTGAACAGTTTGGCCAGACTTGAAACACATCTGCGGCAATGTTTAGACCACTTCCCACAAGGGGAAGGATTGGAGTCCTACAGCTTCCTAATTTTGGATCCGAGCTGGGATCTGCCCCCGTCGGGGATCGAACCCCGGTCGTCCAGCCCGTAGCTAGTCACTATACTGACTGAGCTATCCCGGCTCATGATGCCATGTAGGTGGTTACTGAAATTTATGACAAACTAGAAGAAAAATTATTGCAGCGATAATTTGATGGGTCAGCTGTATATTGGTCTTCTGGGTTATGATGCCATGTAGGTGGTTACTAAAATTTATGACAAACTAGAAAAAAAATTATTGCAGTGATAATTTGATGGTCAGCTGTATACATTTATTTTCTTACAGTGGGAGACTAGTGTGAACAGTTTGGCCAGACTTGAAACACATCTGCGGCAATGTTTAGACCACTTCCCACAAGGGGAAGGATTGGAGTCCTACAGCTTCCTAATTTTGGATCCGAGCTGGGATATGATTCAGAGAGGAGGCATCTGGGCTAGCACTGATCTTGAGGTGGTTGCTTGTCTTCACAATGACTTTATACAGTCGCCAAATCTCTCTGAAGTAATTGTTAGGTGAGTAATCTTTAATGGTTGCATCCAGCTGTACTTACTTAATTACTTTCTCATTCACTCACTCCATGGAGCCGAGTCGAGTCCTTCCTGAGAAGCTGGCAGTCGCTCAGCAACTCGAGAAATTCCAAACATTTCATGGAACCCAGTGGTTCATCACTGTGTTCACAAGAGGATGACATTGATTAATTGTATGAATTATGTTCCCAGGTGTGAAGATAGCACGGTGTATGGTTATCAGTGTGGGAAAATGGAAGTCTTTTATCAACAGTCTGCAGGAAGTACTGTGGGTCTCCCTATGCCATCCGATCTCATGGGTCTTGTTCCACTAAAGGCGAAACGGAGACTGGAGCGTGATCATAGTATAGTTTTATTGTAAACTGCACATGAAGGCCTCCGATGTTACTGAATTTCGTAGAAACGGTATTATTAACTCGGTGAATGTTGCCATATATTGTTTTAATTGCGTTTCGTAGACTGTGAATTGCCCTGCAATTTCTGTTTCATAGTTCCTCATAGCCAGCTGTATATGCGGTATATATCTTGACAAAGGTATTTTTAATTGTAATTGTTTGAGGCCAGAAGTATTATGTGAGACATCATGCATTCCATTCATGTTTTAAGAATTCTGTTGAACACTTGAGCAACACATTTTAACTAATTGTGCTTTCATTTTAATAACCATTCCATTCATAGGATGTGTTTTTATACCGAATAATTGTTTTCTAATTTATATAATTTTATTAGTTTTATACATATAAAAACCTTTTCATTTGGATAGCTGTTCCAAGTGGCTAAACTAGGTTGATTTTTCTTACTTATTGCTTATAGAGGTGTTGAATGAGATGGAATGCTGAAGCTTATAAGTGCCAGAAGTAGAATAATATGCAATACTTTTTTTTTTGCTATCAGTGGGAAGTGATAGGCTGCTTAGGATACCTGTCCAATGAACTGTGGAACATAATAACTAATAATAATGAAAAATGTTTAATTTGACACAAAGACTGATATATCCTTAATAGTTTCCTGCTTTGCTGATAGGGTATTGTGAGGTTTTCTGTATGGGGCATACTGTTTAAAAGTTACACAGTATGAACAATTTACTCCAATAACAGTTATTTGGTAATTTGTACCTGTTCCACTCGTTCAGAAAGTCTTCTTCTTCTGCCTTCCACAGATTCATCTCAAGCCTCTTCTGACTTTGTGACCTTATTTTAAGCAGTCTCTTTTTCTTTAATTAATAATTAAGTGCAAGTTTCAAGAGCCCACTGTATATTCCGTTCAGATGGATGAACTGTAATCAATTATTCTTGTATTTGCTGAGTAAACTGTTAGCTCCTTTCATATATTTTAATTTTTAACTTTCTCTTTCTGGTACATCTCTTGACAGTTTTTAAAATGTTAATTTCTAATGCCTAAATTTAAATATATTTTCTTAACCCAAGTTCCACGTCCATATGAAGTATGAACTGTCATGCCTTTATAAAATTTCAACTTTGTTTATGTCTTTCCCACACATTACAAAGTACTATTTTCTTATTGAATTTTGTACTCAGTTTCATGAGAAATGTCATTTTTGATGTAGATGAAATAAGAAACTGGTTGCATAATTGATGTTATAATAATTTCTTTGCAGGAAATATGATATTTTCATATAAAAGCCATAATATTTTTTTTGGTTTTCTTAATGATGTTTTCATATTAAACTGTTTAGTGGCATTTTGTAGGATGAAAAGGGACTTCTGTGGGTCTTCCTCCAATGTTTGACTGACCATAGGTGAAAGGTAAAGTATTTGAGGTATATTTTTCGCATTTTTTCCATTTTCGTCAAATTTAATAGGCAAATCAGAATGGATTGCCTCAGTACTAAATTTACGTCTTTCAGAATTTACTGTCACCCAGGTCTGTCCTTGCTTCTGCTATTATAAGTGATTTTAATGCATTTACAGAGTTCTTGTAATACCCTTTTTCTTCAAAGGACCACAGAGTTTTATTTATCAAAAGGCTATTCGCAATTAGTAAAAGTTGTAATTGTTTCTAGGTTAAACTCTTATCTCTGTTATTATCTTTAACTGTAAATACAGTGCTATGAAAACGTTGAGTGGCTTTCATTGGCATAAAAGATTTAAAGGGCCAAGATGATGATGAAGGAACTGGAATTTTTTTTTGGATCACAAGGGCATTGTTTATTTTGAGTTTGTTGTCCCATGAACTAGCATTTTTTATTTGGAAATTCCGGCATTGTTATGCGAGGCTGTTCGTCTGAGATCTGAACTTTGGATCTTGCATCACGATATGCTCGCTGTCTGGGAGTTTTTGACCAAAAACCTATATCGAAATTGGACCATCCACCATATTCATCATATATGACCGTGTGTGACTTTTGGCTATTCTCAAAACTGAAGGGCGACAGATATTGAGACACTGCTGACATCCAGGGACGTGATGGCCATCTTGAAGAGCATCGTAGAAAAAGAGTTTTAGAAATGTTTTGAGCAGTGCAAACACTCTTTAGGTATCCCATAAAAATTAATTATGCACTGATAAATCTACGGAATGAACTGGCCATGGCACATCTGCAAAGTGAGAGATAATCCATTCTGGAAAGATTTCATGTAGAAGATTCGTACTTGTTCTTGCTTGATGGGAAGTTGATCCATTCTGTTTAGAACCATATGTTTTCTTGTGTTCTATTCGAGGATTATTATTATTTAGTGTTCTGTCTGATGACAGGTCCATTGTTCTGCCCAAAAAGAGTTCGCCAGTTTTCCCTATTCTCAGCTTCTCGTTTTAACTCCTGAATTCGAGGATACAAATTCTTAATCATCCTTCTGTAGCAATCTTCTGTGACTATCACTGCTTCACCATCTTAATTTTCAAAGAAGAAATATCCCAGATTGTAAAACAACACTGCACGCCAAACAGTGGTCTTTGGAGAATAAAGTGGTTGCTCGTGGAGTTCATATGGATTTTGAGTTGCTCATTAATGATAATTTTGCTTGTTTACATTTCCACTAATGTGAAAGTGAGTCCCACTGCTCATGTATAGATTATTGGTAATATCTGGCAGTCTACATTTTCAGGATAGAAGATGGAGGTAGAAGGTTCCTGTGCAACTCCAACATGATCCTTCAGAACTGCAGATGATTTTATCACCCATACTTGGTTTTTGAATGATGGCTATTTTAAATGGTTTAAAATTAATCTGATGGAGAATTCATTGCACAGTTGGACGTGACAAATTGAGCAAGGCTAATACAGTGCTGAACTAATTGCTTAGGGCTTAGAATAATGGGCATACAAACTCATTACATATTATCTGGTGTACTGGCAGTACATGGAGCTGCAGGCAGTTCTTCACTGAACTTGTAAGGAATTTTTTAATCCACGCCATGATGGTATAATGTGTCTAGTGGTTAAATTTTGTTGAGTATCATCACAAGTTCAAAGAATACACTTTGTTAATTTTTGTGGGTGGTTCTCATTGTTTCATAGGAATCCACTGCCTCCATTTTCAGGGTAGGAAACAGTTAATGCTTCTGTTGGAAAATATTAGCTTTATGAAATAATGAATAAATATGTGTGCATACATGCCTGTATGTGTTTGTAAAATGTAGCATCAAATGTTACATCCAAATCTTGGTTTTGTGTCCAATGACTCCACCAGGGGTTTTCTAATTAGAACTCATTACACATTCTCTGCCAAAAACCTTAATAAGAAAAGTGCCAAATTGCATGCAAGGTGCAAGATCAGATTATCTGCAGAGCAGACTTCATATTAAATTAACATCTTAATCAAATTACAGTGCACATTCTTATCGTCATTGCAATGCATTGTGCCGGGGTCAGTAACAGAAGAAAATAATTATTTTATAAAAAATTACAGTTTTTTAAAGTTATCTGTTCTTTGAAACGTGATGATAAATAAATGGTACTACAAACCTACGATATCACAGCAGGAAGCTTTCAGTTGGAATTATTCATCATAGTAATGGTTTGCAAGTTGTAATTCCTTGTTATTAAATTGTCAAAATAACCCAACTGTCAGCATTAGCACATAATGTTTACACCATACATTTTTACTTTCTAACATCAACTTTCTTTCATTAGAAGTTTGGGTTATTGTAAATTCGCTTGACCAGGAAATGGTGGAATTTATATTTGTGCTATGTCACATGTCTAGAATTGTATGAGGTGCAACCAGAAGTTCCTGAATTCCTGAACTTTATTTTGGAGAGCGTACAGCTCTGTGACACTGCAAAAATTTTCTATGATTTTTTTGCTGGTGACACTCTAAAGAGATATCTTAGTGAACAATTGACCATGAAGAAAGTGGATGTGAACATCAAATCTAAAACTTCTTGACGATGGTGAAGAGTCAATTGAATAAAAATTTTCTTGGATATTATCCATCGTCTAGTAAATATA